ACCCAACGAGTTTGTCGTTGGTAAACACTCTTCTGATAGCTTACTAAATTTAGCAGCGTCTGGTCGTCTTTCCTTACTATATGGGACCGGAGTACAACATAGTAAAAAAAGCAATGTACAATGAAAGTTTCGTATCCTCATAAACGTCATCGTTCTTTTCCAGCCGTCCTGGAAAAGAAGAAAGAAAATGTAAGTGCATGTCGAAAATACACTCGTATGTGAGTAAAAAAAGGGAAAATAATCTCATGAAACGTAACAGCGTTAAAAAAATCGTTTTTTTTGTTGTTTTTTTTTAAAAATAGAATTGAAAATATATAAGCCTATTTAAAAAAAATTTTTTTAATAATATAGAAAATGTCGAGAAGTGCCTTACGTGCAATAGTCATTTAAATGTTCTGGAAATCTCACTCTTCTTCCAGAACGTGTCGTTTTAAGTTTATTTTCGGATACTGTCGAAGTATCATCGTGTGTGTTGGTTGTCGGATGAGGTATTATAAGTGTCGGAGTCGTGTCGTTCAATTGTACCGAAGGAAAATCCACGTAGATAGGATTTCCTTCTAAATACGCTGCTTTGAGGCGATCGATGCTGATGCTATCGTTGGTTCCGTTCTTATCGATTATATAGTACTTCGGTTCGCGTTGAAGAACTTTGAAAGGTCCTTCGTATGCTGATTCGAAAGGTCGTCGATGCGAGTCTCGACGAACGAAAACGTGTGTACTATATCGTAACTCAGGTTGAATGAAAACATCAGTTGATTGAGGTCGAGTGGAAGCAGGTTTAACTGAACGCATTGCGTTTGTAAGCCTGTTCGTGTAGGAGGTTAGATCCATGCTCATTGAAGAGGATGAAGGATCCACGAATTCTCCTGGAAGTCGAAGTGTCGTTCCATAAACGAGTTGAGCCGCAGTGTATCCAATGTCAGCTTTCACTGCATTGCGGATACCTAGTAAGACGAGTGGAAGAGCGTCGGTCCACTGTGAAACGTTTGCAGCTGATAGCGAAGCTTTTAGTTGTCGGTGAAAGCGTTCTACCAACCCGTTTGCTTGTGGGTGGTAGGCGGTCGTTCGGAAGCGGGTGCTTCCTAATAGTGTGGTCAGACGACGGAAAAGTTCAGACTCAAACTGACGTCCGCGGTCTGTAGTGATGGTTGAAGGGCAACCGAAGTTTGCTACCCATCGTTCGACGAAGGTTCGGGCCACTGTTTCAGCAGTGATGTCCTTGATAGGTACTGCTTCTGGCCATCGAGTGAAACGATCTACACAGGTCAAGAGGTAAGAGTATCCATTTGAATCTGGTAAAGGTCCTACCAAATCCAGATGAACATGGTCGAAACGAGCATCGGGAGTTTTAAATGAGCCTAAGGGACATTTATTGTGTCTGATGACCTTAGATTTTTGGCAGCTTACACAGGAGCGTGCCCACTCCCTCACGTCTTTATTCATACCAGGCCAGCAAAAGCGTTCTGCTATGAGCTTGATGGTTGCACGAACACCTGGATGAGAAAGTTTGTGCAATGTGTTGAAGACATTGCGTCGATAATGTTTCGGGACGATTGGGCGATCTCTACCTGTAGATGTGTCACAAAGTAAGGTTTCCTTACCTGTTCCCATCTGTTTGATGCGTAGTTTAAGGGTTGTGGACGATAACTCTTGCAGAAGATCAGTGTCTTCTTTTTGAAGCTGGGCGAGTTTAAGAAGGTCGATTCCTTGGAAACTGTTCAAGGAATTTATTCGAGACAAGGCGTCTGCAACTACATTGTTTGCTCCACAAATATGTTGAATATCTGAAGTAAACTGCGAAATGTAGTCCAGTTGTCGAGACTCACGGGGAGAGTACTTGTCAGAAGGAGAGCTTAACGAGAAAGTGAGCGGTTTATGGTCAGTGAATAGAGTGAATTCACGGCCTTCGATATAGTGTTGAAAATGCCGTACAGCACAATACATAGCTAGGAGTTCCCTACCGAATGTGCTGTATCTCGATTCGGTGTCTAGCAACCGTCTAGAGAAAAATGCCAAGGGTTGCCAGGAGTTGTTAATCCATTGTTGTAAGACTCCTCCGATTGCCGAGTCGGATGCGTCTACTGCGATACTAATGGGTGCTTCAGTGTCCTGATGTGCGAGCATTGTTGCTTTAGCGATCAGTTCCTTAACTGTGGAGAATGCTTTTCGTGCGGTGTCGTCCAAATTAATGGATTTCGCATTTCCACGAAGTTGGTCAGTAAGAGGTTTCATAAGTAATGCGCATTTCGGTATGAAGCGTCTATAGAAACTTACCAGGCCGTTAAACGTGCGTAATTGCTTGACGTTGGTCGGTTCTGGGTAATCCAGAATGGCCGCCACTTTGGTCCTAAGAGGTCGAATGCCTTGAGCATCGATAGTGTGTCCTAGGAAATCTAACGAATCGGTTCCGAATTGGCATTTCTGAACGTTTACAGTAATGCCATGTTTTTGTAATCGTTCGAAAACAAGATCCAGATGCTTGAGATGTGATTCTCTGTCCGGACTTGCGATTAAGCAGTCATCAACATACGCATGTACGAAGTTGAGGCCTCGAAAGACGTCGTCTATGAATCTTTGGAAAGTTTGCGCAGCGTTTCTTAAACCGAACGGCATTCGCAAAAATTCATAGAGTCCGAAAGGAGTTATGATAGCTGTTTTTGGTATGTCGTTTGTAGCCATAGGGATTTGGTTATACGCTTTAACCAAGTCGATTTTCGAAAAGACAGTTGTACCTTTCAAGGTAGCTGTCAAATCGTGAATGTGAGGCAACGGGTAACGATCGGGAATGGTTTTTGCATTCAATCGCCGATAGTCACCAGTTGGACGCCAATCGTTGCTGTCCTTTTTAGGGACCATGTGCAACGGAGATGCATAAGGGCTGTTTGACGGTCGTATGATTCCTAAGTCTATCATATGATCGAATTCGTTTTTCGCTAACCTCAGTTTTTCCGGAGCTAGTCGTCGTGCTTTAGAGAATACAGGTGGTCCTGTAGTCGTGATGTGATGTGTAACATTGCTGGTTACACACGGTAGTTTCGTTTGAGCTTGTTGTATCCCAGGGTACTTGTCGAGTAGTGGTTGATAGAGTGGGTCTATCGAATGCTTAACTGTGACTGGGGATAATCTACAACCAGAAAAGGAAGTTACGCAAACGGATAATTTAGTGTTTCCATCTACTAGCCTCCGTTTGCGCGTGTCGATGATTAGATTATGATGTTGTAGAAGATCCATACCAATGATTGGCATAGAAACATCTGCAACAACGAAAATCCAATGAATGGGTTTGCGTAAATCCACGTTAAGGTAGACGTACCTTTTGCCATACGTGGCGATCGGTTTTCCATTTGCCGCCTGTAAGTTTAGAGTTGATTCGTGGAGCCGGTCGTTATGATTTGCTGGGAGAACGCTAACTTCTGCGCCAGTGTCGACGAGGTAGCGAACTCTCGTTGTCACATCTGTGACGTACAACAGACGGCTATGTTCGCCGGCTACGGTTGCCGTTAACGCGTGCCGGCTTAGAAGTTTCCCGAATTGTTTTTCGAGTCAGTCGTTTTCGTGTTGGGAAAATTGCAGGGTTTTCTGCAATTTCTGGAAGATTTTCCATACTGGTTATGATACCAGCACCAGTCAGGGTTATCCGTCTCTCGTGGTCTAGAGACAGATCGTTTACGCGAAATGCTTCTACGTGGACTGCGTGAGCGACTACGGTCGTTACAAAGATTAAGATAACGCGTGAGTGTATGACATAACTCGGTTATGTCATTCTGAGTCGTGTGAGGCTTTTCTTTGACGGAAAATACCTCTGAAGTAGACGATTTCGTTATTTCTAAAATACGATCGGCAGATGCAGCTAGCTCGTCTAAGGCGTTGTTCTGAAACGAGACCAGAACCGCTTGCACCTGTTGAGGAAGTTTAGACAAGAAAAGTTGTTTAAATAGACCTTCGTCGAAAGTTCTTAGGCCTATCACTTCTCTCATTCTTTGCAACATGTCAGTCGCAGAACCGTGTTGCAGGTCGATGTTATTGAAAAGTTGATCTAACCTTTGTCGATCGGTTAGGTCTCCTCGTTTAAGAATCGAACGTTTTAGGATTTCGTAAGGTTCAGAAACATCACTAGTAAACATACTAGGTGTTACGTACCTGTTGAATTCGCGCGGTAGTGCTTTGACTACTGCGAGGAATTGTGCACGTGTGTCGATCACGCCGTGCTCGGAGAAGTCAGCTTCTGCGTAGCAGAACCAGGCTTCGATATTGTCGGGCCAGAAAGGCATGAGTTGAAACGAAGGCGGGGACAAAGTCTTAAGCTTGAGTACTTTGGGTGTCTGTTCAGCCATGATGAAAATATGAAGTACGATAATGAACGAGGGAAAAAAATATATATATATCCCAGGAAAAACACGAAAAAAAATCACAATGTTTAAAAAAAAGGTAATAATATATAAAAATCCCAAAAAGGAACAGACTCACAGTTGCAGTTAGGTGTACCAGATCACGTCGGGCTCACCAATGAGGATGATACAGGTATTCAGTGTTTGACAACGCTTCTACCAATAACACCTTCTAATATGCTTTGTTCCCACCGAGAGAAATCAAAAGACAGAGTCGAGGAGATCGGAAGAGTGTATTTGGCGATAACCAATATATCGGGAATCTCTGATCTAATCTGGCTAGTGATTGCGGTTGTTGTTGAGCACAGCGTGACAGCACGTGATCTGGTGCGGATGCATGACCGAGCGCCTTCAGCTAGTTGAGTCCACTAAAACATATGGTCAGCATCCAATGTCGAAAACCTATTGAGCTATTTAGTTTGGGGATTTATTTACCGCTACATTGGCCTATCGTATACTGAACAATGACCTGGTTACCGGTGCTTTATTTCTTCCCATGTAGAATTTACTGTTTTAGATGAAATTCTAGGAATGTCCGAAAACCTAGATCAAATCGTTTACGGCTCGAGTTCCATTTCTCACACCGTGAAGTGAATAACTACAACCCTCTACCAGAACGCGTAATATCAGCATTTTCTGTTAATACATTCAAAACAAGATTGGATCTCTACAACGTCACAAATTATAAGAATGAATATATATTGATAGACTTCCTCTCTTTGCTACTGAAGACTAACAGAAGCGCTCATTACAGCATTTGAGTTACGACATTGATAGCTGGCGGAATAATCGAAGTAGGTTGTAGTGTTGTGCTAAATTTGCAAATATAAAAGCCTAGCAAAACTGTAACTTACGGGAGAATTCGGATTTATAACTGAGGATCTTGGGTTTTTGCACGAAACACATCCAAGCCAAGCATCAAATAATGGGGAAATAAAGGCGAACAAGGGGGAAATAATGGGAAAGCACACAAAGATGTCTGCTTTTTCGTCTGTCAGAAGGAAATGATGCGGATTTTCCCTCTTTTTGTCGCTCTGTTAAAAATGTCGTCGAACTGTCAATTTTTCTCGTAAATTCAGGTCGAATTACCTGTTTTCGATTAAATCATTAACATATCTGTTGCTTAATCCTAAGTGTCTCATGTGTTCACCTTTATTTTCATAATAAACCACACGGCAATCGCAGTCGACAACGTTGAAAACGGTACATGTTTAAAGAAATTTGAAAAGAAAATGCGACATATTGTACAAGATTACGAATAGATACTAAAGCATCGATCGTTATGTGTTTCCGTGTCAAGTCTTTTATACGTTACCGGAATCCAGTACCGTTCATACAGGCATTCGGCTATCAGGACTCAGTAGCAAGGTAGACAACGCGATGGCGTTTGAAGCGAACAGCACTGGGTTCGAGTCCCAGAGTGAACATCAACTCTAAGATGCAGATACATCCAGCTGACGAGTCCCAAATAGGAAAAAACTCACGTCCTGTATCCCACTGCTAGCCACTACCAATCTTTGTTCAGATGGAAATAGTTTTCCTTTACAAACCTTGTTGTCATTAACGCTTTTTGCCTTCTTGGTTCTCCTTTATGTTGTTTCAATGTGGGATGGCTTGAGTTGATGTATGGGGTTCAAAGTCAATACATCTGGTTCCCCTTATGTCTTCCCATGAATTAGTCGAATATTAATAGTAGCTACTTAAAACTGTGATCACAATATGTTGTGGCTAGTTATTTTGTGAATGAGATGATAAATATTACTATTTTCATTGTACATTAACCGAAAACCGTTTTTTCTTTTGTCACTACAGCAATTAACTGAAAGAAGCCTTCTGATACCTTGTGTAGAATGTGGTAAAAATGGCTATTGGTGTTCATTTAACGAAGATTGGTGTATAGATACTAACACAACAGCGTTCTATATTGAAAATGACTGTCCCATCACCATACGATGGTAACCCACAAACACAGTTTGATTTCGAAGAAGGTATCCTATTTTCTGTATTTCAAATACTTTTTTCCTCTCTATTTTGATATATCGTCATGTTTTGATTCTGATCTAAGCCGTAATTTATGGTTTCCTCGGTGGGATTATAAGTTTATTTCTTATTTGCTTCCAACTAGGTAATAATATGGTGGAAATTCATGTTCTCGACTCAAAAAATAACTAAGATTACGTAAAATCCCAAACCGTTATACTGAACATATAAAATGATAGAATGGATGAAAACATGTACATATGAGGTTTTACGACTTAGTCACCATGTAGTGACCAATGCCATGTGTGTCAGTCCTTCTTAGTGCTGATAGAATTCTGTCGGTCAAGTTGCAATGTAGCACTAGCCTAGTCAGTCAGTCAGTCAGCTACAACGTAGGACCAGGCACATATGTGCATCGGTCCAGGTTGCCATACCGCATCAACACAACAAGATGAACACCAGATTCATAACAGTGGTTAGGTAAAAGGTGGTAATATATAAGAGAAAGATTGCATATAGAGATATAGTACAAGCAGAAAGAATTGGTTCGTAGAAAGAAAGATATGAAGCGATTTTAATCTCATAGTTTAAGGGAAGACAGGGAGTGTATACACCGACGCCATTGTGATCGATTCTGAGCCATGTCACCAAGAGTCTCCAACCATTGGTTACGATAGTCACGCGGACCCCAACCAAGTAGTCTGCATCTACCAACATGGCTCAGACCAGAAGTTAGTGACTTCAAGCACTGATGCCACGTTTTGGTTTGGCCGCCCCTAACTTTCTTCCAACCATTTCCAATACCGGATAGCATTGCACGTCGTGGTAATCGGTGTTCAGGCATACGTAACACGTGACCCAACCATCTCAGTCAATGAAGATTCATAACCTCATCAACTGATTTACCATCCTTTCCTAATACCCTGCGTCTAACCTCACTATTACTTACCCGGTTATCCCAGCAGACGCCAGCAATATTTCTTAGGCATCTGTGGTCAAATACTAATAGCTTACGAGTGTCTTCTACTCTTAATGGCCATGTTTCGCTGCCGTAAATTAAAACAGAACGGACTGCCGCGCAGTATACTCGTCCTTTTATTGATAGACGGATATCTCGCCTTCGCCACAAGTGACGTAAGTTGGCAAAAGCCAAACGAGCTTTTCGAATCCGTGCTGAGATTTCGTCCGATACCAACCCATTAGGGCTGATCAGACTTCCAAGATAAGTGAAGTTGTCAACGCGTTCGACTACTTCACTCCCTATCCTTAGTTCAGGTGTTAACGCAGACCAGTCCTGAAGCAACAACTTGCATTTAGAGGGAGAGAAGCGCATTTCAAACATCCTGGCATTGTTGCTCAGTGCTACCAGAAGACTGCATTTTGTCAGTGTCTTCACCAAACAGGACTATGTCATCTGCGTATTCTAAGTCGATAAGTGGACCTCCTGGTAGGAGATCAATACCCAAGAATTCAGTCGACGAGAGTGTTATTTCCATCAATAGGTCTATGATGAAGCTAAACAAAAATGGAGAAAGTGGACAGCCTTGACAGACACCACTTGAGGTTGCAAAAGTAGATGACAGTTTGCCATAAGCTCTGACTCGACTAGTAGTGTTCGAGTAAAGAGCCTTCACAAGGTTTATGTACTTCTGGGGTACGCCTTCCAATGACAGACACTGCCACAGAATCTCGCGGTCTACCGAGTCAAATGCTGCTTTTAAGTCAAGAAAGACCACCATCGTCGGACGCCGATAAATATGCCTATGTTCTAGAACCTGACGAATGGTGAATATGTGGTCGATGCAGCCACGACAAGGTCTGAAGCCAGCTTGATTTTCTCGTGTTTGCAGTTCACGAGTTTTAGTTAGGCGTCTGATTATTATTGAGGCTAGTATTTTAGATATTATATTAGTTAAACTAATCCCTCTGTGGTTGTCACAGGATGATTTTGACCCTTTCTTATATATTGGGACGATAAGTGATTGTGACCAGTCCGATGGAATAACGTCTAACTCCCAGATCTTAGCTAAAATATTAGTCAACCTAACCGCTAAAATTGGACCACCATCCTTAAAGACTTCTGGAACCAGTCCATCTAGACCAGCAGCCCTTCCTCGTTTCAGATTATCTATAGCCTTTTGAACTTCAGCAAGAGTTGGGGGACCTACTTCAATGTTCCATTCACGCTGTCTGGGAATGGAGGGTAGTTGTAGAGTAGCTGAAGGCCAGCTGAACTGTTCCCTAAAGTGTTCCGCCCATCGTTCTAAACGTCTGGACTGGGAGTAGATGAGAGTATCGTCTTTTTCCGATATAATCTCACTTACACTTGACTTATTAATTCCAGTTTCTTTTATTAGTCTGTAAAACTGTCTTGTGTTCCCTATAGTCGCCGCCTTTTCCATCTCTTTTGCTTTCGTTGCCCACCACTGCTCACGGTCGTTTCTTAGACTTTTTCTTAACCTAGATCTGATTTGTTGTCGCTCTTCATCATGTTCGGAACCTGATGGGACGAGTTTGCGAGAATCCATCAGTGTGATAGACTTTGAAGAAATCCACTGGTCCTTTGGAACTCTGTGGTTTAAGTTGCTAATAGATGTCACTGCTGCTTCCACAGCTGCTTGTATGTCTTTCCAAGCAACATCTGGGTCAGCCTCGTCTTCAGAACTACCTAAGTGTGAACTCAGTTGTTCTTGGAACCTAGTTTTGGTTTTCTCGTTACTCAATTCAGTTCTAATTGGTCTTTCTAGTGTGGCTTTTTTGCGTCCGGTGAGGCGCAAGCAGATGCGTGCCCGTATTAGGGCGTGGTCGGAGTCCAATCAGGTACTCCGGAATGAGCGACAATCTTCTACCGACCCTCTCCAACGATGACTGATGGCAATATGGTCTATTTGAGCCCATCGTTGGTTTGGTGTAGGGGGTCGCCATGTCAGACGATGTCTCTCCTTATGCTTAAAATTTGTGTTTGCTAAAAATAAGCGATTGTCTGAGCACAGTTGCAGCAGACGATCACCATTATCTGTTCGCTGTGCCGGAATGCTAAAATATCCACCTAAATGCCTTTCTGTTTGGTTTAAGCTACCTATCTGAGCATTAAAGTCACCCCCTACGAGTACTATGTCTGAGCGTTTAGCTTTCTGAAGAAGTTCAGAAGTTCAGTGGGAGCGTAGGCAGAAACGACAAAAAGGCAACGATGTGTGTCCCTATCTTTCCGAGTTCTTACGGAGCCGTTTAGCCGAACAGCACATTGATGGGGATCCACTCTAGCAGTGCTTGTTCCGCCCTCATGCTTAGTGCTATGCCTACACCTGCCAGTCCACGAGAACTGGCCATCGGGTCACCAGATACACGTAGGGTGTATCTCGTTGGCTCTCCGTTTTGCCGAGGTGAGGTCAAGTGAATGATCACACTGGAATCCTGTATGCGTGTTTCGGAGACACAGCATACATCAATGGTACGAGATTCTAGGGTTCTAGCCAAGGAAGCCTGCTGACCGATTCGACATAGGGTGCGTACGTTGAAGGCTCCAATGTGTAGTGTGAAGCGAAATTTCAGTAGACCTGGGACAGTGTTTTGAGCACTAGAATCGTTGGCTATGGTGACACTTGAGGGGGAAGCTGAAAAATGAAGTTTAGAGTTTGAAGTTGATGTAGGAGGAATAATAGGAATTGAAGAGGGAGGTTGATTATGAATACAGTGGTCTTGAGTGCTGTTAGAGGTATGAGGGCGGTTATCACTTCCCGGTTGCCCACACCGTGGAAGGGTACTTCTGGAGGTACCTGAAAAGGAAATCGGATTAGAAGTGGTCTTAGTGACCAGGGAGCGTGAACGCAGTGCCCAAGGGACAACTGCTTGAGGTCGGTCACACACGACCTTCTTATGGGAAACTTTTGTGTTAGCTCCGTACTTATTGAGACCTTACCGCCGGAGACGGATATCCGTGGGATAAGGCGAGATGTGCATTTTTAGGGTCGACCTTTTCTAACCCCACCCCTCCTTGTGGGAAGGCAGCATCGCTGTCATGCTGGTTGTCTGAAGGAAACACCTTACTGCTGTCACACCTCTGTACAGTCAGCAGTACGACTTCGGACCTTAGGTTTGTTGCTTTTAGTCTTACCGCTCTTCAACCGACCTGTCTGACATGGTAGGACCTTGAGGAACGGTTGTTCCAGTCAGTATAGCTCGGTTGCTTCATCACGATAGGCAAGCCCGACCACCACGTCAAGGTAGCAACAACGGTCACTAGCCTAAGTGACCCGACATTTCGTATAATATGTTGAGATGTAAAGTGGTGGTCGGAGATAGTCAACAAGAAACCTTGGACCTAGGTTTCGTGCCATTTGTTATTCAGTCACAAGATGTGCCTGTAATCTTGAGGGAACTAATGCTCTCTGGCGGATTCGATCCCATTTCACTTAACTTCAATGAGAGATATTACCATTGAGCTATGTCAGCCGGAAATAGCCTGTCGTAGGACTGAGACGTATTCAACGTTGATCGACCACCGGGTAGTGATCAATGTTATGTATGTCTACAGTAATAAAATTCACAAGTTTTTGGGCGTACTTGAACTTTATAAATCTTTAATACTAGCCTTAGGCTATTTCAGTTAGTAGTTTTTGCCATAGACCTACAGAATTCTGGTGTAGTGTCTTCGTTTGGAAAACTTAATAACATTTGGCTCTTGTAATTTTAATCGACAATCGACTCAACAACCTGTGTCAGTGGTTAGAACATACATGAGGTCTTCAAAGAAATTTTTTTAACACATTGCGTCCTAATGTTATTAAACCAAAGTGACATGACTAATCTCACCCTTGGTAAAAAACAAACGCTTCTAAGCTATCATAAATTTCTAAAAAGCCATTAGGTTGTTTACCAATAATCCGTTGTAGAACATTCTATATATATTCAATCGAAGTATGTTTACTGTATTTAAAAAAAAATCATTATTTATGGATTTATCATTTGAATAGAGTATGATGAACTGAATGCTCAACTGGATGCATTGTCAAAGTGCTTAGATATATTGGAAGCAAAAGGTAAAAAAGTATGCGACGAAGCTAAGCGTCTTATTATTGAATACAGAAGTCAAAACTATGAAACGTCATCTTGAATTATTTTCAACATACACTTATCACATAAATATTCTATGTATTTTTTTCATTCATGACACTTGATTTCTCGAAAGATACTTTTATTGTAATTGATTTTCTCATATTTCCATTTGATTTGTCAAATAACTGGTTTCATTATGTTACAATACTTTTATTTACACATATCTAAATGATTAATGAAGTTTTATTAGACGGTTATTCATCTTAAAAGTTATGATAATCATACTAATTATATAATATCTATACCTCAGACTTTTTATATGTACTGTCTTAATAACTGGCAGAGTGAACTAACGACTATATATGTAGATGAGTATTCAGTTTTCAATGCGAATTATGCTATCATATTTGAGATATTTTGTTGTTTATTAAAATTTAATTTGATTTTAGCGATAATAATAATACGGAAACCGTGAATTGAATTAAACACACTTCACTAATGGTAAGCATCAATTATACTATGAAACTTGATAACGAACATAAATTTGAATCCAATATCATTATCGATTCATCTAATCTGATGATGTGTTTTAATGAAATTACGGAACAACAACAACAACCCTTAGATAAGTGAGTAGCTAAACTAACTTACTCCGCCTGAAGTCCCTCCGGGGGCTACTGCCAGTCCCAAGCCCGGATAAAGGAGGAGGGTTGGGCATGGGGGTTAGCGACCTCATCCCATAGAAAACTAACTCGCTAAAAAAAGGCTAACCAGAAAAATTACTCAAGCTAAACTAAACTTGATATTAATATTTGATGCTATAGGAGTCAACAAATTGAAATAAACAATATTTTGTATTTATATATAGAATATTAAAAAAAAGAACACAGTAGTGATTATAGTATAATCCAAATTATTTTGAATAAAAGAATATGCAAAACAAAGTATTTGGGACCACGAAAAAACAAACAAATGAAACTGATAGTTATATATATATATATTTCAATACACAAGACGAAAGAATATGCACTTATATAAACTAGTGTGATATAAATAAAAGTTAGAATGATAATAATAGTTTTAGGGATACTAATAAATAATTGATTCAACATAGAATATATATTATATGGCAAAAGAATCACACCAAAGATTTTCTCAGGAAAGAAAGAAGAATACAAAAAGGTTATCTTCTTATCGAATACAGTCATATATTCGAATGGCATAGTAATTGTTTATGCGTGTACACAACTTTATCTCTTTTGAAATATAAGTCCTCCTACCAGTTAACAAAGTTTACTGAAGCATGACTTTTAACCTATTTCTAATAACTTTTCTCTCATATTTTTTTTCTTCAAAGTTATAATTTTAGCTTAAAAAAAAGGAGGAAATAGTATCCGTTAAGAAATTGAATAAAAACAAACAACACACACTAATAGAAAAGGAATTGTTTAATTCATTGTAAGACTAACAAAGAATCCAAGTGTTTCACTACGCCTGCAATCCTAAACACCAACACGCTAAAATTACATATTAAGAACAAACCTAAAAGAAAGATTTCGTACCTATGGAAAAAAATATGAGTGTCATCATTACAATAGTCTAATTCAAAGAAGGAATTGGCTTAAATATTGAACAAGTAGAGTATTACAAGGAAAAATAATGAAACTATAGAACTAGTGAAAACATGTCTTTCTGATCCATGCAAACAGGATAACATCGTGTACATTAAAAGTTTTTAGAGAAATCTGGTGCAATTTTAACTTTTCTCTGTTTAAACAAAACTATGCTTATTAAGAAGTAGAACAAAAATATATAGGTACATATATTGAGAAGAGGGTGAATAGTGAGAAAGTGTCGCTAAGGGAAACAAATTAATAATTTAACTCAAAAAGAAAAGTATAAATTAGTAATAACTGACAACAACAAAAGAAATAAAACAACCGAAATTACTACGTCTAAAAAACTGGGTTTGAGCACACTTGTACATTAGAATTCAATCAGATAAACACGAACACAAAGTTTAAGATATTGTAGGAGGAAAAATTGGTCGTTTCAGAATACCATCTAGTTTTCAAGTTCATGTAGAATATTGACGTTTGGTTATTATAACACACATCCGTAGAGTTTCCACAAACAATTCAAAATAGGCAATGTAAACACTACTATTATCATTGATACTGCTAATAATAGTAGTGATATGTGTAAAACAATCGATTATGGGAGCTGTTTACTTATATGGAGAAATAATAATTGAGTGACGCTTGATTCCAGAGGAGCTTGTTTTCCAATAACAAAACAATCATGGACGGTAAATATTAACTGAAAAAGGGGAAGAACAAATGTTAAAAGACCAAAAAATCAAGTATGGATTTGTGTTTGATAGGTATGTAAATGTGGAAGACTTAAGTTGACGAATCCATCGGTTGACCGTTACCTAATGCATAACCTGTAAAAAATATACAAAAAACTGGTCGTGAGTAAATTCAAGAAGAAAATAAGTAAATGATTAATAGGAATATATACATATACACATTAAGGTTGCTCAACGGTCATTCATTTCCGTGTGCTAAGATTCACAATTTGTTTTACTCTCGTGAAATTTATTTTCACCGCAGACCACACAACAAATGAATTCCAATTTGACCGCTTTTTACTTTCGCAAACAACATATGAGGGTAATGCACTAACTTTGACGGTTTTCATTTTCACGATAGATTATAAGTTTTTCGAAAATAAAACTGACTAGATACAAATGTTTAACATTAATTAGTGGGTCAAAAACAAACCTAAAACAAGAAAACGTATTGTAATTATTGCACAGCTGAAAAATAGATGACCCTGATATCTGATCAAGCCCGTAAAAAATAATAAGCAATACATGAAAGGAGTTTGTTCCTGTTAACTTATAACAGATGCCTGAGTTAGGGTTTTCATCACAAAGTGCCATCAACTATAATGTAAGAATCGTTCGTAGCCAAATGAATGAGTTCCGCGCCAATTTATACGAGGTACTACCTTAAATCTGATTGGCTCGTCCATAAAAAGTATAGCACAACTTCAAAAACTTCCAGTCTGTTTTGAAAAATTCAAAAATCCTGCCATCAATGTGTTATGTATTTTAGGTCTATTTGTTTTCTACGGTTTTTCGTGGAAAACTGATAAATTTCTAATTAGTACTCTAAGATTCGTTATTAGTTATCAGTTTTGTGATGAGTATTAGTCTTTTCAGTAAAGAAATATTGGTAAATTTCGCTGAGCTTTTACATAATCCTAAACAATTTACAAGCTGTTCATCATTCGATGTCGAATTTAGCACTGAAATCTGATAGCAGTTATCATGAATTTGATTGGTTTGACCGTGCAATATACTTCTGCCGTAATTCTTAATTATTACCATATAGATGGTAAAATGAAAAACGGATCATTTACGTTGTGGTCCCCAAATGCATAGTTCACCAGCATCATTCACTGAAGCGATCATTGTAGGTAATACAGGATTCCAATGAACACATGTAATTGGATCTCTGTTCCCCGTACCAGGCGATGAATGTATAGGATGACTACCACTACCGACATGCCAAATGTGTATTCGACCATCTTTAAGAAAAATAATTATTTAGACATAATAATACAGGTAGAGAGATAAAGGGATCAAATAAATAGAAGTAATTTGCAATAATAATAACAATAGGACATGTAATATACAGTTCAGAAACTTACCAAATATGAAGTTCATTATTATTGACCAAAGTTTAATAACCTCCCAAATTATATGTTATGCACAAACTTCCGAGTAAGTTCGGATTACACATAAATAAGATGGACATTTGGTAATGCGACTACGCGGTAATCACGTAGAGGCTAGTGTATTAAATGATGAACTATGCAAATAATTTAACGAAGGTAGAACAACTGCCTGAATTAGGGGGTTCTGGTGATCAAATTAGAAATTACTGGTTGAGAGTAGTGAGCTATACCATCGCAACTGAACAGTCAACAAGCATTCAGGTAACCGAATCACATTGTAGTGATGCATATATTAAGTACAGATTGGCTATTCAGTATTTATTTTACTTGAAGATAACAAACATTCTATCTTGTTCAAAATTCAATTAATCCAGATCAACATTGATATGGATATATACATTTTTTTTTTTACATCAGATGTATAGTGAATATGATAAACAGTGAATGTAGTTGGTTTGATTCATTTCAATAAATGAACTTCACACAAGGAGGATATCACTAAGTTTTAATTTTTGAGGGATATTCACACAAAAATCGAACATTTAACGCATTTGGTGCATAATATTTTCAAGTGTTCTTTTTCTTTCTTCAAAACGTGACTTATGTACTTTATGTGGTCTTTTCTTCGACAGAAAAAACAACCCACTTATTTCATACTATAGTAGTAAAAATATTTTAAACTTCTCTCATATACACTATATGTGCGTTTACAAAAGTTAGAGTTTCATGCTACCCAACAATACTTGAACCAGGATCTAAACTTAATTTCATCACTAAACGTTCAATTCAACTAGGAGACTCCCCCTGCGAAAAATATGTAGTTTTAGCAAAGAATATATATAAGTTATCAGTAGGGGGATTTATGGAGATTATTGAATACTATTGGAATTACGAACCAATCTAAGTTAGAAAGCTATCAAAAACCCAGGAGCAATGGACAGCTGTTTAGTATGAGCATCCATAACCCTACCGAGGAACGAACTTAGAACCTTTAGGCCTCATGGAGAGAGCCTAACTATTAGACTACTGACCTGGCATCCAATGGTGTTGATGTCTAACTTTAATCGATCCCCGATATTGCGCACTCACTAATGACTACCTTCAAGATAAAAATTTCGGGAGTTTTAGTCAGAAGCTGTGATCAGTGTATGGAGAACGCGGCAGTAATAACCTACTGATGATCATGCAATGTCAGCATTAACTGAAGTTAGACATGTAAACCATTAAACCCTAGATAAGTGGTTTAAAGCCTAGGCTCCCGCAGCAAGACCTGAAGGTTTGGGGTTCGATCTTCGGTGGGGTTGTAAACACACACTGTTTGAGGAGCCACATAATAGGATTGAACAGATGTTTAGTGCATCCGGGTTCTTAATACTTATCTAACTTGGGCTGGTTTGTGATCTTAATGACATAATCTAGTTGAGTCAGTAAATGCTAAATGATAAAAAACTAAGTAGAACATGAAACAGAAAATAATGGATTTCATGTGGGTTAAACATGTATATATCTGTATATTTATAAGGTCATATAAATTAGAGATAATACTAACTGTATGTGCATGTAGGTATTAATTTTGCAGTAAGCATATAGTGTCAGTTGACAAATCATAGTCATGTGAATACAGTATGAAACAGAAAAATGTTAAGTACTAGTAGTAGTAGTAATAACATAATGTAATTTACATGTTTCATAATAAGGGAGGGAAGAGTGGACAAACATAAAAACAGAAAGGAAACACTTCATGTATTGGATGACCCTGAACGAAGATCAATATCCGTGTGAGCGAAAACAACACCAATTATGTATTTTATGAATAGTAGAAACGAATGATTCATTTTACTCGACCATGAGGAAAAGCTAAATTCAATGAAATTAGATTGTTACACATAATTTACAAACAGTCTTTTCAAATTCACTTTGAAAATGTGAAATTCTACAGTTGAGGGTTGTGTTGATTGAATAATTTTAGGTTATTATACTGATCAGAATACATAAATGGTCATCATTCTTTCTTTCTACCAAGTGACTTTTTCTTTCTGTACTATATCCTTATACACAATCTTTACGATTGTAGTAACTACTTGTATGAATTTGGTGTTAATAATTCGGTGCTAGCCCCCAAATGCCCTGGTACAGCCGAGAGTGGGGAGAGTCCGCTCTCCCTCTCGAAATACTCTCACACGGCCACGCGTATATAGCCTCTGTCAGGGAAGTCCTACTCACTGTCTTCTCGTGGCAGGGGTGTTGTTTACGAAAATGAGAGGACGAAAAGCGAATGTCCGGCGCTTTAACCGGATTCCAAACCAATGGTGCACATGGGCTCCAGTATCCTGCGGGAACAAATGGCGAATGAACCAATTGTTGGTCACCGGCTTCCATGGGACTGAATCTCCTCACGATGCTCCACTGCCTTGTGGATCAGACCTTCAGGTCGAAGGCTCGGGGTGTGGCCCCCTAAGAAAACCACCTGCTTCGGTTTGGGCACCCGGGCAGTATCACAGCCCTCACACATATCGAATGAGATTTGTGTGGCGCATATGTATTTCGTGCCTCCTTGTACCAATATCTACGTGTTAAAATAAATAAATAAAAACATAAGTTGGCAAAAACCATCATCTATTTAGAAACGCAAAATTTTTTTTCCGTAAGATGGTATTCAACAACAAAAGAAAACAAACCACAACTTACTTTCACTTCCTGTAGCTACAAAATCTTCATTAGCTCCACCAAATGTAGAATATAAACGAAAAGTATCTTGTTTATGCCCAACAAATCGTTGTAGAATAGCACAAGCTTCTAAATCCCATAAATGTAATCCCTTTTTTTATGTTCAATTTAAAAAAAAAAGAAGTAAATAATTAGAACAAAATTAATAGTGTTTTGTATATGATGTAAAACATTTAACAGAGAATACAATATTAAATAAATGAAATAATACATATTATCTTTTGTAAATTAAAAATCAGCTTTCTTATTACTGTTTTTATAGTTGTTGTTTTACAGAGATAGATATTCATGATTATTGATTGAAAGGAACAAAAATTTTGTTTGAAAAGATATGAACCAAGGAAACAGGTGACCCATTACATAACACCATGTCAGATGTAAGTAAATAGCTCAGATAAATTGAATAAAATACTGTTTGAAGCAAATTAATTTAGAAAACATTACAAAAGTAGTTTTAAAGTGACATTTTTCTAAGAAGAATCTTATTGATAAAACTATGAGATAGAATAAGAAACCATACAAGAATATATGAGAAAACTTATAAATATGAATTAGTTATTATGAATAAAATCAATGAAGAGTTTCATATTATGTCTTCTCGTGGCGGGGGTGTTGTTTACGAAAATGAGAGGACGAAAAGCGAATGTTCGGCGCTTTAACCGGATTCCAAACCAATGGTGCACATGGGCTCCAGTATCCTAAAGGAACAAATGGAGTATGAACCACTTGTTGGTCACCGGCTTCCATGGGACTGCATCTCCTCACGATGCTCCACTGCCTTGTGGATCATACCTTTTAGGTCGAAGGCTCGGAGTATGGCCCCCTAAGAAAACCACCTGCTTCGGTTTGGGCACCCGGTTAGTATCACAGCCCTCACACATATCAAATGAGATTTGTGTGGCGCATATGTATTTGTTGCCTCCTTGTACCAATATCTATGTGTTAAAATAATAATAATAATAATGACGAAATAGTTGTTAAATATTTCCTAGTTCTAAATAATATCTAAATTGATGTTAATCTGTGATGAAAATCATCTATGAATTAAATTAAGAATAGACAAGTTTAAAATAGGATTTAACTGTTGATCAAAATAATTAGTAGATTATGAATCTTTATTAACTGATGATGGTTGAGACATGTTACATAGGTCTGAACATCAAAACTAGGTTAACTTTATATCTATAACCAAACGACAAGTATTTGCTGACAGAATGGATAACAAACTTTGGATCGATTACTTTATTTTTCTATTAAAAAAAAGACAATAAAATCTTATCATCAATTTAATTTAAGCACTTGAGACCAATGCACAAACACAATAACATTTATAAGAATAGGTATATATTTAAGTATAAAAAACATGTTTTGATAAATACATGTACAAAAAGTATAATTAAAATGAGGCGCAAGGTAAAGTCAGTAACTTAAGATTACATCTTTTGGTTTAGGGTTGATGATGGTGCCCGGCTCTCTTCTAGACCAAAGTAAATGAAAAGAGAGATTCAAACTAAGCAACATTATCAGAGGAAATAGATCCTTCTAATCATTGCTCTACATTTTCACACAAATAAATAGGTAATATTAATAGATGTCATAATTAAAATGTACATCAAAGTTAACCATTTGGTAAATGAGTTTCATTACTTTTTTAATCTTTAAGCTACCACAATGTTTTACAATAAAACACAAATAAATCACAACTTATGTTACCTTCCCACCTTTCATGTTCAAACAAATAAATTTGTTAAAATTAATGACTGAATAAGTGTACTCAATAATTTTTGATCATTATTATTATTATTTTGTTACATTTCTCAATGATCAGTGACATCAAGTGTATGAAGTAAAAAAAGAAACAACAACAACAACAAACAGATTCATTTACTCATGAAAAATGTCAACTGATAAACAACAATTTATTAACTTTTAATTATTAATCATCAGAAGGGGTTTTATGAAGTTTTTAGAAATTTCACTGATTGAAATCATGAGTCAATTGAAGCTAAACTACCATGGAAAACTTGGAAGTACTGGACGACCGTTTCGTTTTAGTATGAAACTTCTCAGCAGTGCGCATCCCGCGGTATTCGAACCCAGGACCTATCAGTCTCGCGCCAGGCGCTCAACCAACCAGACCACTGAACCGGCTGGCATCCGACGGTGTTAATGTCTAACTTCAACCAATCAACGAAGTTGCGCCACCGTACACCATTGTCTTAAGTGAGTTGATATCTCACAACAGACCTGGATGAACTCCACTGGTAACGGCTTCTCACTAGAACTCCAGGAGTATCTCTTGAAGTCAGTCACTAGTGAGAGCAGATGATTATTATCAGAAGAGGTTTTGTTGAGATTTTAGAAATTTCACTGACTATTATTAATCAGTTCAAGCATGTGTAACTTATACAAAAGAATAAAAGCACTTTAGCGGTTATATTTAATAACTAAAATTTTAAAATCTGTAGAAGTACTTCTATCAGATATAAATATATATTGTGCATTATAATGTGGTTGGCCAAAAATTATCCAAAAAAATATTTTTTATTAAATAGTAGTATGTATGTGAATACGTCGAATTGATGCAATGCAAGTCTAATGTATCAGATCATAATCCATAAAAAACAATATTCAATATTCAATGTTTAGAACATAATCACACACACACACACACTTAAGATCTTATATATACTAAATGTATACATTCACATGTTAACCGCTTACAATGGAATTGATTTTCTAGAATATAACAAAACAACCGATGAAATATCTGAATGAATGTCTAATGTGAGCATGTATATGTTTAATTATAAAACTTAATAATTTACGTTCATTGTTGAATAGAAAACTTTTAAAATAAGTTTGTTTCACTTGAGAAGAGTTTAAACTGAAAAGTGAAAAAAAAGAAACAAATAGAGAACTTGATACTTAGCCTCATATTCGTTGACTAGATATCATCAGCGACAACCGACTGGTAGAAAACAAACTAGTATCTAACTGAAGAGGAATTTGAGGAAAAACGCTGAAGGTGGGCAGGAAAAACATTGAGGAAACCATCAAACCATCAAAAAAATTATATCATATAGTAAACTATAACTTGGAGTCCTCAAGATAAAAGGGAAAGAGGAAGACCAAAAAACACATTGCAACGGGAATAAGGTGTAGATACCAAAAGAATGAATAGCATTTGGCAACAATCGAAAAGTCCAGGATAAATATGGTTGAAGAATCTTGGTAGGTGGTCTATATTGCATGAAGCCTAATTAAGTTGATAATGATGGAGCATTTAGGATGTAAACGCTTATGTTTAACCCTCCTGCTGCACCCGAACCCATCTACCAGATTTAGTATAATCAACTTTGAATAACCAAACTATTAATATCGTGACTTTCATATCTTTTGCTACTTTACGATGGATAATAAAATTCATGAATGATGCACAGAAGTTTCAGTGAACAAGCTTTCAAACATTTTCGATGTAGTCACTGACTGTGATGAGACTAGATTCCCTAATGTCGCTCCATTGTCTTGAGGATTTGACTTCTAGTCAAAGGCTCACTGAGTGGTCGATCCCTTAAAAAATCATCTGATTCAGTCTTGTAGTTGGGGTTGTATCAACGCCCACACAAAAATATGGTAATGCATAATTATGAAGAAAATGTTCTATCGCTCCGCCTCTCTACTCTTTAAAACGACATTCGGAATCATTTTATTACATGCTAATTTAGTTTGTATTGCTTCAACTTTCTATTCTTTTTTATTTTCATTCTATTTACAGCTCAAGTAAGTAAGTAAGTAAGTAAGCTATTTACAGCTCAACTTTATTCGAAGTTCTAACTCATCTAAACGGTCTTAAATTGCTGGACTATCGGTTTTATGAATGCTGTCATTGATTACGAGATCTGATAGTTACCCTAATTTTACGAATGTTACTTATATTTACTTCACTCGATGTTTGTACTTTGATGCATGTCGTAGAGCTGATAGGTTTAGCTGTCCTTGCAAAAACCTTTTCAGTCTTCGCATACACACCGATGAAAAAAAGATGAGTCCTACAAATAATTAAACCAATAACTCACGAAAACTCATTCGACAAATATTATGGTGTTAGCTGGAGAGATTTGAATGATAAATTTAGGTGTCTAGATATAGACGAGAAACGGTTGGATAGCTAATTAGGACGTGATGGTCACAGACCAGAAAACGGTGACTTCAACATACGGCTTTGTCGGTCGAACGCAACGTAGGATCTGGTACATGCGTACAGTTTAAGTTACCACACCTCATTGGCACAGAAAGATGAAATTGTTAGGAGAAACCTCATAGTAGTAGAAGTAGTAAGAGGATTAGCGGTAATAAAAGAGATTCGGCAATTCGAGCAGAAAATATAAATTGGTGAAATCAAAAGATTATGAGGAATTTATAAACTTAAGATCTAATAGAAGATAAACTGTTTCTTTCCAGCGCCACAGTCAACGCCAATGTGCTATTGTGAATCTCTCTTTTGCAACACAAACCCGGATTTGGACTGGTCGTATTGCAACCAGCTACGCCTGGTATGAATACGTTCAAGATTGTCGCTCCTTTTAGAACACCTATTTGGTCTATGATCATTCCACAGTTTGTTGAACAAGTAGTTATTACCTGATCCTAGCTAACAATCAATAGGTATCTCACATTTTCATGAATTAAATTTTCTTGGCCAAATGTCTACTGTCAGTCAGTCAGTCAGTAACAACGTAGAACTTAGTACGTACGTACATCAGTTCGAGTTGCCACACCACCTTAACACAGAGATGCAGTTGTCGATCCAAATCCCGTAGTGGTAGAGGTAGCAAGAGTGTAAGCAGTGATCGGGAAGATTAGGGTTTGAAGATGTTATTTAAAGAGTATAATTCAGTGAAATAAATTTGGAAAGAGGAAAAAAGGGACATGAAGAATTCAGAAGATTAGAATTTGGGAGAACACAACGAGTGGATGCACCTGCGCCATTGCAAACGATTTTGAGCCATGTCATTCAGGGTCTCTAACCATCGGTTGCTATCATCTCGCGGTCCCCAATCAGGTAGTCTACATCTACCAACATTACTCAGTCCACTTGTCAGTGACTTCATGGATTTGTGCCATGTTTTGGTCTGGCCGCCCCTAGCTTTCTTCCAACCTACTCCTATACCACTGAACATCGCACGTCGAGGCAGTCGGTGGTTGGGCATACGTAACACGTGTCCCAACCATCTCAACTGGTGAAGTTTCACTACTTCATCAATTGATTTGCCATCCTTACCTAGTACCCGTTTCCTAACAACTGCATTACTTACTCGATGGTCTCATGATATACGAGCAATGTTTCGAAGACATCTATGATCGAATACTAGTAACCTACGAATATCCTCTACTCTTACCAGCCATGTTTCACTGCCATAAAGTAGGACGGGACGAACTGCTGCGCAGTAAACACGTCCTTTGGTTGATAGACGGATATCTCGCCTACGCCATAAATGACGCAAGTTAGCAAAAGCTAGTCGAGCCTTCTGTATCCGTGCTGAGATTTCGTCACACACCAGACCACAAGGGCTGATGAGACTTCCAAGATAAGTGAAGCGGTCGACACACTCAACTACTTCACTCCCTATCACTAGTTCGGGTGTCGATGTAACCCAATCCTGGCGCGTAATGTAATTAACCGAGGAAATATAATTCATGAAAATATGGTGGACATACTAAAGGAAAATTTAGTTATATACCAATAATCAATAAAAGAGAGAAGAGTAATCGAAAAATAATTTGTTTATGATAAACTTTATCATGCGGGACCATAATTGATTCATACTTTCATAGAAGGAAAAGAAAATCATTCATATTGGAGATAAGTGCAAGAAAAGCCATTAAAATATTGATATAAGTTACTTTATGATAATAATAGTGATAAAGAGTGTAAAGTAAATAATAATGAGAATCACTATCGTGATATTCCCTGGTTAGTTAGCTGACGGACATTTTCAAATAGTGTTTAATATTCAATTCTAAAAAAATAGACTTACATTTTATCAAGAGATAAAGTAGCATTTAATTAATGATGGATGATAAAATTTCATGAATTATCAACTAGGTTAATATAAATTTAACTTTTAATCTGGTCAGTTTCTTTTTGATGTACTGTGATGTGAAGCGTGTGTGTGTGTGGACGATTTGGACTAGTACATGTTACTTGTCCTATACCCTAAGTTATAAATAACTGACTGAAGTGACTATTTATGGAATTGATTATGACAAGAGAGATTATATCATTGTAAGTGAAGTGAGGTTCAAATCTGGAACTTATTAACTGAAATTTGAACAATTTAACCCAATGAAATAGAGAAAATGAAACGCTATAAAACAACGTTTTGTTTTGTGAATGGATACAAAAATTGCATAACTCAACATCTAATGCTTCTTTCTATCAGATATATCTGATTGATTACTCTAAACAATCATATATTCTTATTGAGAAAGATGAAGTTGCAGTATAAATATTGATCATTTAAGGAATTTTAGACAAAAATCCAAAAAAAAAACATTAGTTGTGTACTCTATATTAGTGTAATCACATAACTATTCACATGTTAACTGGAAATATAAAATTTCTTTATATCACTTCATTTTTTCCCCACAGTTTCTACTAAACTAATTTATGATTAAAATAACAGTTAAGTTAATTTTAGTTCCTTTTATAAACAAGAAAATATAAATTACTGACTGATTGAACTTACCATTTTATGTATAGTAAGAAGTGCCATAGTTCCTGAGCGTGAAATCATAATTGATTGAACAGGATGAGTTTCTTTAAAAAGAGTTCTATGATCTATTAAGCCATAATTACTGCCATTTGTAGACAGACTACTAGCATGAGCATTTGTAGTTGTACTGGTTGTTGATGTAGAAAATCCAGTCGCTGGTAGAGATGCTGAAATTGTAGTCGGATTAGTTGGAGATCCAGTAGTAGTACCAATAGTAGAAGTAGATGTACTCACGGTGGAGCCAATATTTGTTACGGAAACAGATGAACGACCTGTAGCTACTCCACTATTATCAGGTGATGTAGACACTGTTAACATTGTTGTACCACTGGAGACAGAATGAACTTGACGACTGTTTACACTGGCTAACGCGGCAGCTGCAGCAGCTAAAGCTCGTACACCTGTCGGATTGGTTGTTACTGAACTAGAAGTACCAACTGGAGTAGTTGCATAAGAAGCTGAAGTTCTATCCAAAGGAGCACCGAATAAAATAGTTAGGCTACTACCAGTAGTGCCTAGACTATTTGCACCAGATGATGATACAACTGTGTATGGATTTGAACCATGCAAAGAACCAGTTGGATGCAATATAGGTTGAAGACCTAATTGAGCTTGCAAACCCTGAGTTGTGGATGGTCCAAGACGAGTTAAACTGACAGGCAGTATAGGCATATCCAATAAAATACCCGCTGAAATAGTAATAATCAATGGTTACGAAACTTAGATAACTCACCAGTTACGGAGACAGAACTACAGTAACCGAAAATTCATCAAATTTTCAAAAATTTGACTAAAATCAGTTGAAAAAGAATTTAGTGGCATCTGATTGAAAATTTCAAACGGAGGGGGGGTGCCGATGAATCAGGCGCTATAACAACTGTATCCTGATTGATTCCTACGGACACTAAAACTTCAGAAATACGCTTCACGTTGTATTATTGTCAAATAAAGCAGAAACAAGCGTTTGACTTTCTTTTGTCTTCTGAAAAGTTTGGGGCCGGGTAAAATGTCATTGAGGTCATATCAAAAGTTCATTTAGAAAGTATTTTGAGTTACATGAGCTTGTTGCATAGCTAGAAACGAGTCATCAAATTAGGAGATTCTACTACATTTTGATTGAAAATTTCTCATGATTGTTATGGTCGGGATCTCCAAAAACAGGTGGATATGTTGGATCTACATGTGAAGTACGGTTTGATGATACAATACACTGTCTTGAGTAAAGTAAACATTCATACTAATCAGTCACATTTCAACAAGAGAAATAAAAAGGAGCTTGAGTATATGCTGCAATTTTGAAGGATATATATATATATATATATATATATATATATATATATATATATATAAGCATTGTTGCTACCGTTACAGTATAGGACATTACTATTACTATCATAATACGGAAAGATCTTTAGCCCACACAAACCTGACGATATTAACCAGTTATAAAGAGCTGAGTCATCATAAATCCGACTACAGTTGTAAAACCGGTCATTATTATCTTGTTGTATTTGACATTCTAACGATAGATACCAGATATATGAGATGGACAACATTTTTCAACTTGAGAATATTAGCGAGGAGAGGTCGTTTACAAATTATACTCAAGCGTTAAGTAAAAAACGCGTTAAAACTAATAAATCACATAGACATAAAATGATTAAAGTTTATGTACATCAATTCAATAGAAAATAGTTAATTTAACAGTAAAGGATCCGGAAAACTAATATTCCAAATAATATGGCGTATAGTTGTATTATGGTTTGTTAACTGTCAAGTGCATCAGAATTCCGTGATACGACCGAAACTGAGGAGAGTCTGTTCCCCTTCTCGAAATGTTCTCACATGGCTACACATATATATCCTATGCCAGGGAGATACTACTTGCTGCCTTCTGGCGGCATTACTGTTGTTTACGAAATTGAGAAGACGAAAAGAGAATGTCCGTCGATTAAACCGGGTTGGTTGTTACGAAAGATCCAACCCAGGAGAGCTAAAAAAACCCTGGATCCAAACCAATGCTCCATATGGGACCCGGAATTCTGGGGAGAAAAATAGCGTTTGAACCTATTCTTGGTTACCGACTATCATGAGACACCATCTGCTAATGTTTCTCCACTGCCTTGTGGTTTAGATCTCTGGGTCAAACGTTCGGGGAGCAGATCCCTAAGAAAACTACCTGTTTTGCTTTAAGGACTCGGACGGTATCCCATCCCAGCCAGTCACAACGTAGAACTTGGTACCGCATGTACATCGGTCCAAGTTGTCATAGCACGTTAGCACGGATACGAAATTGTCAAGTGAATTCCCAAAATAGTAGAGGTAGTAACAAACTGAATGATAACTATTTTGTGTGGCACATATATTTTGGTGCTATTCTGTACCAATGTTTGTGTTTAAATAAATAAATAAAAACAGATTTTGATAATCCACTAAGATTTTTCAAAATTATGTGCTGATGAATCTGGTATCTAGGAAAACAATGAAAATCTCACTATTAAATCATCCAGTTCAGAGAATACAACACCTAAACTCTCATCTTGAGCTATAGATATTCTCCAATATATTAACTATTATTTAATTGGGTACTATTTGTAATGCTTACGTGGTAATGTAGAAGAACTTGATGTATACGCTAGACTTGTTGATCCTTGATATGCACCAGATTGTTGATACCATGAAGATAAATTACCAGTTAATGTTGATGCTGGATTTGTTGATGTCATAGGATTTGACGATTGTAATAAACGTTGTTGTTGTTGTTGTGCTAATCGTGCAACAGCTAATGCTGTCGCTACGCCAGGATTTTCTCCTGTAGTACTTGTGGCAATTACACTATTATTGTTATTATCACTACTATCACTACTCCTAACATTACCCGGATTAGTAGTACCAGTGCTGGCTGATGTAGAAATATTAACTGAAGTTGGAGCACCTGGTGCACTCCCACTTGAACATAAATAGGCAGCTAATGCTGATGCAGTAGTAGTACTGATACTACTACTGCTAGTAGTAGTTGTTGCTGTTGCGATAGTTGTACTGGTTGTAATCTCCTCACCAGGTGTATGAGCAAAAGATGAAGCAGACAGAGTCGAAATTGTTACAGTCGATATAGATGTCGTACTAGTTTCATGTGGTGTGGTGGCTGTACTTTGTGGTATGTCAGCAGTATCCGCTGTAGTATTTGTATTATTAGATGACGTATTTGAACAAACTAAACCAAATCTAAATAATCGAATTCTATGTAGGCTGTCTGCAACTAACAATTGGTCAATTTGATTTTCTGAACGATTATTCACTGCATCGTTTGTCGAACCGTTTTGAAGTAATCCATTTGCTGGCGAATCTGGTGCACCTGGAGTAGATCTATCTGGTGGAGGGTTAACTTGGACAGATTCTGTGCCATTTGGCAAAAGCATACTTGGTATCGGTGGGAATATAGCCGCCATACTTTGTACACGATAGCCTTCAACCACGGCAAGTACACGACCCTGATCTTCCGTATCCTAGTAACAATAAGTACACAAAAAAGAACAGACAAATATGAAGTTTAAAAGCAAACAAGAAACATGGCACAATAGTACAGTCGCTCAGTAATAATGATGGGTGTTAAAATAGCTAAAGACTGATTGTTAGAACAAAAATAAATAGTAAGCTAAAGATCTAAGTTAGCAGAGATCACTCATTAAAAAGTACCACATCTATCTCATCTATCAGCAGACAAATAATAATAACAAGTATTTGCCTTTAAATCGTTAGGTCGCGGGTGAGAACCCCTCACTTATTTCGGTTCGACCAGACAGGATAGTACCACTAGTGTTTATATACAGACACTGTAATTCAAAGCTAAGTACAAAAACGTTTACTTGATAAATGAGTTATAGCAAATACTTATCATACAAACAGATGATACCTCACACGTTGTGTTCAACAATATCCTATCAGATTTTGAATGAGTAGCGGGAAAAGATGCGTAATATAACGAACAGATTTGAAAACTTATTTTATAAAATATTCGTGAAATTAACCAGTCTTACAAACTTACCATTACATAGAAGCTCCCTTTCAAACCACCAAAAGCTAGTTTACGACTATCAGAGAAAAACGAGGCGGTTGAATAGACGTCTTCATCGTTTACCTTCTGGCTGCATAATTGTTGACCACTGAATACATCGAATACTAGAACGGAACTTTGTTCTTCTCCACAACAGGCTGCCAATCTGATAAAAAGGAAATGAGCTATTCAAGTGAAGTTTGAGTACAGGACAGTCGTTGATTTATGAAATATTCATGACCTACTATGAGCGGACAACAGGCTTAGAAAACGTTTATGTCCTTTTAAAAGGACGAATAAACAGAAAGAACGATTAAAATCACGTAAGATTTAAGTGACACGATTTACAAGACTTCAATGAGTATATTGCTGTCATCACTTCTAATCAACATTTTCCACTGTAAAATTATACTATATCATGGAACTTGATAAGTGAGCTAACACAACTAGATGACACGTTTTCTAATCGGCTAGTACATAATCAAAGAGATGGATTAACCCATGAGCTGGAAGAAAAATATCCCTGGAGCCTTTTGTAGGATAAAAGTATATATTTTGTGGATGATAGCAAGGTGTTGATGTTGTGACACATAAAAATTAATCGCTATGAAAACAGACAAATGTTAATGTGATTTTATGACAACTCACTAATTTTAAAAGAGTAACAGATTGAGATTAATAAAGATATGAGCAAATCAATCTCTAGTTATGTTAATCAGAGTGTAAAGTCATTGAGTGATTCATAACTAGGGACTTGAGAAAAGACCGTCAGTGACTCCATAGTTTGATATCTCCTTGGCCTAGCTGGTCAGAAGTGTATAGAAATAAAATTTGCTTTGGCAGATACAGTAGATTTTTTAAATTTCGAAAAACTAACATCATCTATAGTTGGTAATATATCACCTATTTCAATACAAAACATGTATTAGGTGGTGGCGTATACAGTCATTCCAGAAAACATCGAGAAAGTGAAAAACGAATGAAAACAAATACGTATCCCAAATAATTTTGCATTAATATGTGACACGTAATCCGTTCACAAATATATGGGAACTGAAGTTATAAAAACGATTTCAACATAATGTATGATATATAAGTTTCCTCTCCAAAATATTCACTATTTGCAGCAATACGATTTCTTTCCAGTTTTTATTGCTTCAGACATCCATGAAAGTCATTAGATGTCAGACACATCAGCTGACATATTATTCTACGTCTTACCATCCATTGCATGCTGAGTAGTTTCATATTTTATCTTGTACTCTTAGAATCCAAACTCGTTTTTTGCAATACACATGGTTAAGTATCAGTAACTTTCGAACGATTTTATGACAATTTTTCCGATGCTAAATACTTTGTTAGAACTGTATGCAAAGACGATTTTCCTAAACTCACATTATCTGTGATCATCCGGACAGCAAATGAGCGACCGAAAGGCACAAGAGATGGTACACTTTGAAAGTTTCAGTCAACATAATGACTTTTCGGAATTAGCAACTTAAGTGGTTCAGTTCATGTATTTATTGGGAAGAATACTATAAATCACATCAACGTTATGATTTACAGAGACTTTTACAGATGCTGAACAAATATTTTTAAAATATCACACTAACTTTGACTAAAACATATTAAATTTCGGTGCATAGTTTACATCATAGCCAAATATCAACCTGGTTAAACAAATACAATGAGATGGTAGTATATCAAAGAAATAAAAAAGTATTATAATTATATACTTTTTAGAATCAGGTGACCAACACAGACAGCCAATATATGCAGGTGTAGTTAATACTCGGAAAAATGAGACAGCATGTCGTACAGAGTCTACACGCCAAACGTCAACATTTGCATCTTTGCCACCAGTTGCTAAATAGCTACCGTCTGGAGAAAACTGACAAAACCATAGATCAGAATCTCTTTGATGGTCCAAAGTTTGGATACAAAATGCTGGGAAATCTTGCCTAAATTGAGATTAAGAGTAAAAAATAGGATTATATTACAATGAGCTGTTAGGGCTCATGACATAATGGTTTTGGCTGGAACTTTCGAATAAAAGGCAACACTGAAAAACTTTATTAAGGTAACCAACTATGAATTTCCTACCGACAGATATCCAGAATGTTTACTGACAAACTGTAACAACCAAATAATAGTAGCATATTTGATCGTTGGCTAGCGTTAGAATCCAGAATATGCGTCAATTAGATGTTTCTATTATCCACTTCATTCCTCTTCAAGGCCTACCAAATATGTCATTGTCAACCAGTCATATGTAACATAAAACCCGACACGTGCATCTGTTCAGGTTCTCATACCTCATTAGCACAGCGAGGTTTAGTTGACACTGATCCCGATGGATGTCTATATCAACCAGATAATATTCTGGGTACGTTATTTTTTACATTATTATTTCACCGCTATGTCAATGTGAAGTTTTATAAAATCGACCGGTATATCTTTATGATATTCAACGTTGCATATGACTAGATGACGACCAGTTTCCAGGTTTTTGATCAAGTAGAACGTTAAGCAATCTTACACATAGCATTATTTGGTATTTGGCTAGTATTAGAATCCAGGATATGCGTCAATTGGATGTTTTTATTATCCATTTCATTTCGCTTCAAGACCTACCAAATATGTCATTGTCAACCAGTCATACGTAGCATAAAACCCGACACGTGCATCTCATTAGCACAGCGAGATAAAATTATTTTAAGATGAATCCCAAAATAGTAGTCCCGAAATAGACGAGCGATGCCTCGAAGACACCTACGGTCGAATACTAGTGCTCACGAATATCCCCTATTATTGATGGCCATGTTCCACATCTGTAAAGCGGAACGGGGCGAACTGCTGAGTAGCAAACCCATCTTTTGGTTGGCATACGGATATCTCATCTACTCCACGAGTGACGCAAGTTGTCAGTGATCAACTTAGTTTACTAAGTTCGTGTTGAAATTTCGTTAGCCACCAGCCCACCATGACTGGTGAAACTTCCGAAATAGGTGAAACGGTTGCTGTACTCAAGTACTCCACTCACTATCATTAGTCTGAGCTCTGATGCAGGCCAACACTGAATTGAAATTTTGAATTTGAAGGAGAGAATCTCATCTCAAACACGATTGTATGTTGCTTAAGATAGTTATAGGACTCTGTAATTTGTTGGCAGAGTCTTCTGTTAGAGCAAGTGAGGTGTTAGTAACTTAATATAATTCATTAACCAGGTATAGCTTTATGTACTTGGCCTTCTGTAGCATATAAGCTGTAAGAGCTAGCTGACAAAGCTCAATTAGGTGCAACAGAGTCTGAACATACGATCAAATGATTGGTGGTAGTGTTTTTATCAATAGGCTACTACTAGACAAAGGCAACTGAAATCATCCGGCTAACCAAACCACAGTATATTGGGAGGAGTATGAATATTCTATTTGAGGTTCGGTTACTGAGTCATTGCACAACTGAGAACAAGATAGTATGGATTAAATTATAGATAGAACTGTTTCCCCTTGATTAAGTTATTAAATGTGAGCTTTTATAAAAAGTAATTACTGAAGGCAATTACATAATGATAAAATGCGCCATTTTATGGAAATAGTTTAAGTTAATAAATGTTCTTATATGTTATGAAGAATTAATACAGATATTGCATACTGATTAGGGGCGTCGAATTCTACCTAATATGTGAAGGACTCCACTTTGAATAGTTAGGTAGTGTCATTAAACTTTATGTAATAAATTCAGTTGATATTTGGTTTTACAACTGTGTACATGATTACTGATTTATTGATAGATATGATGGAAAAAAATGGAACGTTTTAAAAAATTGGAGTAAAAATTATGCTGAAAACGTACCAAAAACACTACTGAATTACGATGTTTAATAGGAATATGGTTTGCTTATTTTGAAGTCATTAAATAAAAATTAGTGAATGCGGTAGACAAAGTAAATATAACATAACGAACTGTCTCTAGTCTAATAAATCAGACGGTGGACTACACTACTTTAGTGTCTGGGAACAAAAGCCGTAAATTAACCCGTTCCATATCACTTTACTGGATCAGTCAGGGATTTTCAACCGCTAGACATTGTTCAAAAAGTCAATCACCGTATTTCTGATACCATTCATAGCTAAGTATCGGGCGATAACGTTGTTATGCAATAAAACAAACGGTTTGTATAAATAATTACATGCCACACGAATGACGCTGTAGTAATGATATATTATGTATATCAGTTTGGACACCCATCGGAGGATTATGAAATATGCATGAAGCCAACTGTGCACGAACAGATTCATTGATCAACTCTTCTAGTCTCCCAGGTGGTAACATTGTCTGTGCTGGTATAAAGGCTTGTATTCGATTGATCAGTTGTAAACGACTCCCAGCATCTACTCCAGCCCAACCACCTGCTTGTGCTTGGAGTTCAACAGCAGTTCTACACATCAAACAACTAAAATTTGAAGAAAATCGTCAAAAAAAAAACTAAATAAGTTAAAGATATAAAACAGTTAGGGAATATAGCTGATTGTTATAGGTCTGAGATTAGGAGATTACAACTTATACTTTACAGGACGACTGAATAACTGAGACGTCTAGTGAGTGACACAGATTGAACCGATACAAAATTAAGTGGTTTTAAGGGTTAGATAACATTGCTTAGTGCAAGATAATACAGTTAATTGAAGAAATTAAGTATTTTATAGGTAATTAATGACAAGCAGCTTGACCTACTCGACGTAAGTTATCAAGCGATAGAACTAAAAAATCCATGAAGTGTTTAAGTTTATCTGAGCGTCATCAGCAACAGAAAGCACCATGTCTATAAGAAAGTGAATAAGCGTAAAGAAAACATGTCAGAACTTATCGCGATTTCGGCTTAATTTATGTTTAATGCTGCTGCTGCCTTGACGCGGTGTTTAGCTTGCCTATCGTGATGACCCAACCGAGCTACATTGACTGAAAAACATTTTCCTGTAGTATCTACCATGCCAGGCAGGTCGATTGGTGAACGGTAAGACTAAAAGCAGCAACTCAAGGTCTGAGGGCGAAGTCGTACTGCTGACTGCAGAGGGGTGTGACAGCAGTAAGGTGTTTCCCTCAGACAACGAGCATGACAGCGATGCTGCCTTCCCACAAGGAGGGGTGGGGTTAGAAAAGGTCGACCCTAAAAATGTCACACCTCACCTTACCTCACGGATTTCCGTCTCCGACGGTAAGACCCTTTGAGGAACGGAGCTAACATATTAAAAACCTCCCACAAAAAGGCCGTGCGCGACCGGCCTCAAGCAGTTGTCCCTTGGGCTCTGCGGTCACGCTCCCAGGTCGTTAAGACCAACACTAATCCGACTTCATTTTTAGGTTCCTCAAGAAATACCCTTCCAAGGTATGGCCAGCAGGGAAGTGACATCAGCCCTCATACCCGTAACAACACGCAAGATCAAGTTGGTCACATTCAAATCCTTCCTAAACCTCCTAATACCTCTCTCATCTCCACGACTAACCCTTCTCACGTCCCTTTATCACCTCTCACCGCTAGGGCAAACGACTCGAGTCCTAGGGCAGAACTAGCTCTCTTAGACTGGATCCCAGTAGACAGCCGTTTGTGCGCTGTCCGACTGAACGGAACAGTAAGGACACGGAAAGATAGAGACACTCCTCGTCGTCTCGGCCCATTCTCTTACTGACTGAAGCTCAGACGATGTAAAAGATGAGTTTTACAAAAAGCGTTCCGACCTTCTCCAACAAGCTAGGCGCTTTAATGTAGTAATAGTGGCCGGTGACTTTACTGCTCAAGTAGGTAAACTAAGCGATAGGGAAAGACACCCGGATGGATCTTATAGTGTCGTGGCTCAAAGAACATATAATGGCGACCGTCTGTTGCAGCTATGCTCAGATAACCGCCTCTTTCTTGCAAGTACTAACTTTAAGCAGAAAGAGAAACATCTTTTAACATGGAGACCCCCTAATTCGTCCCAACGTTGGACCCAAATAGATCACATCGCTATCAGCCATCGATGGAGGGCCTCGATATAAGACTGTCGCCCATTCTGGAGCACATGCTTAGATTCAGATCATGCTCTAGTACGAGCGCGTATCTGTCTGCGTCTTACTGGACGAAGGAAAGACGTTGCAAGTAAACCTCTTAGGGCCCTACTTAATGATAGTCAAGCTAAGAGTATATTTCAGGAACAACTAGGAAAACAGTTAGGCAGTCATGTAAGTGATGTCCACCCCGAGGCAGCATGGAATGATATCCGAAAAGCTGTGGAAACAGCAGTGATATCTGCTAGTACGGTAAACCACAAGGTTAGGGAGCAACACTGGATCTCAGCAGCATCTATCGCACTGATAGATGCTCGGAAACTCATTCCACCCGGCTCTGAACATAGTGAAGAGCGGAGTCAGCTTAAGCGCAAGCTGACAAGAAGTCTACGCAATGATCGCGAACAGTGGTGGGTAGCGAAAGCAAGAGAGACGGAAAAGGCAGTGGCAATAGGTAATAGCAGACAATTGTTCAGACTTGTTAAGAAAACCGGAATTAGGAACACGACCGTTAGCGAGACAATCTCAGAGAAAGATGGACATATTATTCATTCCCAATCCAGGAGATTGGATCGATAGGCAGAACACTTCAGGGATCAGTTCAACTGGCCTTCAGCCACACTTCGGTTTCCCACGATCCCCAGTCAACCTGAATGGCAAGTTAATATAAGTCCTCCGTCTCTTTACGAAGTTGAAAAATCCATAGGAAATCTGAAACGAGGGAGAGCAGCAGGCCCTGACAGGTTTACTCCTGAGATTTTTAAGGATGGTGGTCCAGTATTAGCAATGAGATTAACCGAGGTCTTAGGTAGAATTTGGGAACTGGACGTAATCCCATCTGACTGGTCTCAATCACTGATTGTGCCAGTCTATAAGAAAGGACAAAAGTCCTCTTGTGACAATCATAGAGGAATCAGTTTGACTAATATAGTGTCTAAAATATTAGCCTCAATAATACTTCGACGCCTAATCAAAGCTCGTGAAGAGCAGACTAGAGAAAACCAGGCCGGTTTTCGACCTGGACGTGGTTGTATAGATCAGATATTCACACTACATCAGGTTCTAGAACACAGACACACGTTTAGACGCCCGACAATGGTAGTATTTCTCGACCTTAAGGCGGCATTCGACTCTGTTGATCGTAAGGTTCTATGGCAGTGTTTGTCACTGAAAGGAGTATCAAAGAAGTACATTAACCTTATAAAGGCTCTCTACTCTAACACAACTGGTCGAGTGAGAGCTTATGGCGAACTGTCATCAGAATTGATTACCTCAAGTGGTGTTCGTCAGGGTTGTCCACTCTCTCCATTCTTGTTTAACTTTATTGTAGACATGCTTTCAGAGATAACACTTTCCTCATCTGAATTTCCAAGGGTTGAACTTCTACCAGGAGATTCACTTGGAATATGCCGATGACACAGTTCTATTTGGTGAAGACGCTGACAAAATGCAGAGTATTCTGACCACTCTAAGCAACAATGCAAGCACGTTCGGCATGCGATTCTGTTCCTCGAAATGCAAAATGTTGCTTCAGGATTGGGTTGCATCGACACTCGAGCTAATGATAGGGAATGAAGTAGTTGAGTGTGTCGACCGCTTCACTTATCTTGGAAGTCTCACCAGCCTTTGTGGTCTGGTGTGTGACGAAATCTCAGCACGGATACAGAAGGCTCGACTAGCTTTTGCCAACTTGCGTCATTTATGGCGTAGGCGAGATATCCATCTATCAACCAAAGGACGTGTTTACTGCGTAGCAGTTCGTTCCTTCTTACTTTATGGCAGTGAAACATGGCTGGTAAGAGTAGAGGATATTCGTAAACTACTAGTATTTGATCATAGGTGTCTTCGAAATATTGCTCGTATATCCTGGGACCATCGAGTAAGTAATGCAGTTGTTAGGAAACGGGTACTAGGTAAGGATGGCAAATCAATTGATGAAGTGGTGAAACTTCATCAGTTGAGATGGCTGGGACACGTGTTACGTATGCCCAACCACCGACTGCCTCGACGTGCGATGCTTTCTGGTGGAGTAGGTTGGAAGAAAGCTAGGGGCGGCCAGACCAAAACATGGCACAAATCCATGAAGTCACTGACAAGTGGACTGAGTCATGTTGATAGGTGTAGACTACCTGGTTGTGGACCGCGAGATGATAGCAACCGATGGTTAGAGACCCTGAATGACATGGCTCAAAATCGTTTGCAATGGCACAGGTGCATATAGTCTTTGTGTTCTCCCAAATTCTTATCTTATGAACTCTTCACGCCCTTTCTTTTTCCTCCTTCCAAACTTATTTCACTGGATTATACTCCTTGAATAACATCTTCAAACCCTAATGTTTCCGATTACTGCTTATACTCTTACCACCTCTACCACTACGGGATTTGAATAGACAACCGCATCTCCGTGTTAATGTGGTGTAGCAACTCGAACTGATGTACGTACGTACGATTATTTGTTTATTATTATTTTAGCACATAGATATTGGTACAAGGAGGCATTAAATACATATGCGCCACACAGATCTTGTTTGATATATGTGAGGGCTGTGATACTGACCGGGTGCCCAAACCGAAGCAGGTGGTTTTCTTAGAGGGGTCACACCCGGAGCCTTCGACCTGAAGGTCTGATCCACAAGGCAGTGGAGCGTCGCGAGAAGATGCAGTCCCATGGTAGCCGTTGATCAATAGTTGGTTCATACCCCATTTGTTCCATCAGAATCCTGTAGCCCATGTGTATCATTGGTTCGGAATCAGGGTTTTCAAACCCCCCTAAGTGAACTCTCCGTGTCCACCAAGACCCAGTTAAAGCGCCGGACATTCGCTTCTCGTCCTTCCAACTTGGTAACACAACAGTAATGCTACGAGAAGGCAGAGAGTAAGACTTCCCTGGCAATGGCTGTATACGTGTGGTCGTGTGAGAGCATTGCGAGGAGAGAGGACTCTCCCCACTCTCGGCTGTACCAGGGCATTTAGGGGCAAGTACGTTGTTACTGACTGACTGAATTCTTCATTTTACTTTTAAAGTTCCCTGTGTTTAGTATCATCTATCCAACCTTACTCACTATGCTTACATGTATTTGATCACTTTTAATGTTATTTCTCATTTTTGTTTGAAGTTGACTTACGTCACTTTATTTCAATATATGAATTGTGTTAATTAGGTACTCAGGTTCTTTAGCTGTAGATGTGCTATTTGCTTTCACCATTGATCATTATTGCTTGTTCTGGACTACTTTAGAATGTCATTGGATATTCGGGGGACTTCATGGATGTATAGTAACCTTTATACGAAATCAATTCAATACAATGACGAGTTACAGAGGACATTTCCTCTTAAAAAAAAACCTATGATTATTCGTAGAAGCTTCATATATACACAATAATCTCATTAAACAAAACGAAAGGTTAGGAACACTTTTCAGAAACGCAGATATTTATAGTTTGACATAATTATTAGGATGACAGACATAAATCTTGAAAAAAACATTCAGCTACATTTTATAAGACAGAACATTAATATGTAGACATGTTTCCAGTACAAAACAAACATATCAAATGTGAATACGCTTATTGACTAACGCAGTTATACAAGCAGTAAGCACATAGATATTAAAACTAGCATTTGATAAGTCAAGGGAAAAATAGTCAGCAGATAGGGAAAAACAAAGCAGAACCTATATTGAAAATATGTATCGGTTCGATTTGTCACTTTCTGTTAACAAAACGAGGATAATCTCTAGTAGCAGAGAATGGTTAAAAAGGAAGTAAGATTTTCCTAAAAATCGATCCTGCGAAATTGTCAAAAATATGGGGAAATATTGTACTGACAACTTTTAGGATACAGGGAATAAATGTATATGACCTACTATTGTGAATGGCTTTGGACCTCTTGCCTTTATTAATCGATCAACGTTATGTTATAGGTATCAAGTGGAATATATCCACCTCTTCTCACAGCTAAATAAACATTGACTTCATCTCCTGATGGATCTCATTTTTCATCACGTCTACGCTAACCAGAATAACATGTCTACGTTTTGCTTACAAACAGCGATCGGAATAAATTGAGTAGAATCACTTTAAGCTCCCGAATTTCAGTGAATATCCCAGTCAATTTGAATAATATCCCTAGACCTTCAATCTTAAATATTACTATAATTTATGCACCAAAGCTACAATCTGATCTCAACCTTTAGGTTATTTGTGAATAATAGGGAAGTAAAATGTGGTTAGTGTTCAGATAAACTACTCTTTAATGTGTTCTCATTAGCACTTCAGTTGGTTGGTTTAGGAATGAATTATTGATCCATTTTTCTTAACGGTTTCACCTAATGTTTACATTTTAGACCGAAATAAAATAACTATTCTTGGTTCTTTGTATTGCTTTCGCTTTTACTACTCAACATGATCGAGGCTTACTGGGATGAGTTTGCAAGTATTCTGAAGCTAACAAAATCTAACATCTGGTTTTTAGCTAAAAGTTGTTACTAAGGTTTTTACGACAAACTAGAAAAGATGGCAGGACACTTCACGATGCAAGTTTCTCTACAAATTTAGCAAGTGCTACACTATTTATTATTTTCAATATAACCCAAATACGATTTTTCTGTCTAGTAAGGCGAAGGATGTGCTTTTACGGGAGCATGATGGATTTTCAAATATGAACCCTAGAAGAGACGTTAAAGTCCTACTGATTTCTTTCGACGATGGTGTGTCAATATTTGGGCATCAAAGATACTATTTCAGGACCTAATGGAAAACAAAGAAAGGATGCACCTGGATCATTATGAACAATCTTAAGCCATGCCATCCAAAGTTTCCAATTAATGGTTATGATAATCACCCGAACCCCAACCAGGTAGTCTGCACCTGCCCATATGGCTCAGTTCAATAGCAATGCCAACTAAAACACATGAACAAGCATTTGAAAAGTTGCTAAATATTTTGCGAGAAACTAAATTTCTAATATGTAAAACAATATCCCCATTACCTGGCCAAAGTATGTACTCGCTCTGTATTACGTTGCATAGGTGTAATACGATTACGTAGAAGAGTAACGGCAGGCATTACTTCATTGGCTTCCAAATTTTCCAGAAACTGTTGTTCTAATATCAAAAATCGGACTTCTTCAACACTATTTAGATCGCCTATCATGGGTGCTAACTTGTCTATTGCGGCTTCAGCCTATTTAAATGGTAAAGGGATAATTGGTGTAAAAGAATTTTTTCGTACAGTTGCTCTTTTATAAGTCGAAATAATAACCAAACAGAAAAAAGTTGTGCCTTGGTCCTTTATTATCACTAATCAATTTAAACTAAAGAAAACACTCGACTACATAAATATTGGTAGTTAACTGTGGAAACTAATGAAGGGCTGTTTACGACACAAATTAACACTGCCGTGAATTTCTGCTATCAAGTTAATGAAGGTTTTCCTACGACTATTCATCAATCCAGATAATTATTTTGCTACAATGAAACGAAAGCTCTTGAGACAGCATAAAAAACACTTGAAAATGTACAGAAACTTTGAGCCGAACTTGGTGATGAGTGTTACTGAAGGTCTTCGTAAGAGATTAAGATGGTCAGTGCAATGCTTTGTTGTCTTATACATCCAAAGGAGACGGTTCCCCACACATAAAATAACTACATTTACTTAACCTCGAATTTCCCGAGAATATAGCTTGATTTATTGAATGATATCCATATTTGTATAGATTTAAAACAAGTTTAAAGTCATTGGCTTTAAAATTAACAGGACTCGTCTAATTTTTTCCGCATTACGAGTGTAGCTAGTAAGATCAGTGTGATTAAGATGTTATGTCTGATTAGATTCACAACCAAACAGAACAATTGTTTTTGAACTGGAATGCTCATTATGAATACAATTATAGAAGTGAGAAATACAAGTGGCGTCACAAACTTTATACGTAAGTATCATGATTGTAATTAAAGGAAAAAATTTCAGTTGATAATTGCTAGGTTTAATTTGAGTATTAATGCCTTGTTTTTAGAAAAATGTGGTGGTTACAAGCATCCCAAAGCCTAATTATCCGATGTTTTATTAATGGTTCTCTAAATTCCCTTACAACAGATACTAAGTAGTCTTAATAACCAGGATATGGTGTAACAATTGTATTAAAGTACATGATCTAACTAGACGAAGTTTAATTAAGACACAAAGTTGTAACCTTCTCCAGAAACCCAACTAAAATATGTGTTAAAGCTGTTGTCAGTGATTTTACATGTACATTTGTAGCATTCATTGCATAGAATACTTTGGGGATTACAACGATTGAAAGCGCAATTTTCGAGTTAATACTGACTCTCCTAGATTATTATCCTTCCCAACTTGATCTCCCGCATCTCATGCTATTCTTAGATTGAGATACAAAAGATAATGTATGAAATGAACAGTAAGTAAAGAGGAGTCTACTGAAAAATACACTTTTCCAAAGTAGAATGGACGATAAATTGCATCTGAAGTTTTTCATCTTATACCTACTGATCGCATTAAGTAGTTATCTAAGGTTCGTACCAAATTTATTGATGGGGTTACAAATAACCACACCACTACTAATCTAAGTGGGAAAATAGAACGATGGTAAACCTGTTATATTCCCAGTTTAATGCAAGTAACTTGACTGATTGGGTTTCACCATTTATAAAAAATATCAAGCTAACAGAACAAAAGCCGAGTTTTGTAGGGAAACCGCGGGAGGATGACTTACATCAAGCCATCTACCTTCCAAAATAGCATGACGCAACTCTGTTGCATCGTTGTGTTCCAAGGTGATCCCAGACTCTCTTGAAAGCTGTGTATATGTGCCACTGAAGTGTATTAATATATAATAATATCATACTTAAATCCCTTGTCACAAAGATACTGTCCTATAAGGCGTAGCATTTCCTCATCACGAACTGAAAGACTCCTTGATCTAGCAATAATGAGGTCGTTTTTAATTGCAGCAACGCCATTGAACTGGCCATATAGAATATCACCATTTTGCTCCAGCATAACTTCAACCTATGGTGGACTACGGTGAGCCCTACTAATGAAATAGGATATAAGATATACGGGCAAACTGTCGGTCAACAGCTGATCCGCAGTTCCTTTGTTAGTTTAAACGAGTATCGAGTGTTCAATACCTAATTTCATTTGAAATTAGTTTAACACAGATTCAGATTTGTGTAGTAAGGACAAAAGGTCTACGGCCTATGTTATTCTTTTTCTAGCATGCTTCTGTGAGTTTTCAGTCTTCTCTTGAAAGAATCAATTGAAGTTGCGGACACCACTGCTTCGGGCAGCAGGTCCCAAGTATTGATGACTAAGTGTTAAAAACTGTATGCAACGAGTATTTTGTTCGTTCTTGGCTTTTCTACTCACCTGCTATGTCCTCTGAGATGTTCCGATCTAGTGGGAAGAAAAAGAGGGAACAAGTTAGGTCCAGAACCATTTCTCAGTATTCTGTAAATCAAAATTAGATCTCCCCTTAATCTGCTATAAGAGGTCCAGTTTGTATCGTAAACCTTGGAGTTCTGTAATTGCACGGGTAGCTGCCCTTTGTACTTTTTCTAGGATATCCGAGTCACCTTTTAAACAGGGGCTTGCAGCCTGAACCCAGTCCTCAAGCTTAGTTTTCACTAAGGATGCGTATACTGTGGTGAACATGGTAGTATCTAACTTAACAAATGTCCGTTTCACAGCCCAAATGGGTCGAGAATCCTCAGCTGTGGACTTCCGGCAATGGGCTGTCGTCTTAAGATCATGATTCATTGTCACCCCTAGATCCTTATGAGACCGAACCAGAGAGAATGGCACTTCCCCCATGTTGTACTTATTAACCTCTGAATCCCCAAAGTGCATTTAGACACACTTTGCTGCGTTTATAGGCATCAGCCACTCTTCAGACCAGTTAATCATTTTATTTAAGTCTACCTGAAGAGCTCATGCGTCTGTGTCTCCAGTTATCACTCGCCAGATCTTTACATCGTCCACGTATAATAACATTGGGGACTGTACTATACTTGGAAGATCATTAACATACATTATAAAAAGTAAAGGACCTAGAACGGAACCTTGAGGTACCCCACTAAGTACTGGTCTCCAGATGGAGCACATGGAATTTATTCTCACTTTCTGTCTACGATCTACCAGGAAATCTTTAATCGATTTTTAAAGAGGTCCGGCAATACCAGGTTTCCCTATTTCAATAGTTGGCACCTTGTCAAAAGCCTTACTGAAGTCTATGTAGACAACATCCACTGAGTTTTCGTTGTCTAGCATCTGTATCCAAAATTCCCTTGCTGTAAGGAGGTTCGTTATACAAGACAGACCCTATCTAAAACCATGTTGTTTTCTGTCTGACAAGTCATCAGTTTCCATAAATGGCACTATGGTCCGTTTGACTATTCTTTCCAACATTTTAACTACAACACTGGTGAGGCTTACAGGTCTGTGGTTCGATGGAAGTGGTCTTGATCCTGTTTTATGTGTGGGAGTGACGATTGCGTCCTCCCAGTCCATAGGTAACACACCTTGGTAAGGTGACATATTGAATAATACAGCCAGTGGTGCCGCGATATATTGTGCAATATTTCTCAAGATTTTGGGGTGTAATTCATCTGTTCCTCCTGACTTTTCCATGTATAAGGTGCTAAGAGCCTTAGGCACGTCGTCTTGATCGAAGTCCACGGTGAGCATGTAGTATGTTGACTCTTTATTTTGGTCTGATTCTTTGTCAAGAGGAGGTTTCTGAGTGAAAACTGCCCCAAAATAGTCAGCCATAGCCTATGCTTTTTCCTGATCTTCCTCTATCATTTCAGATTCACTCCCATCTTTAATTAGGTTGGGAATCCAATGATGCATTCTTGTTCTGTAGTTTATGTACGAGAATATTCTCCCGTGCTGCTTGACTGCAGATTGTGCCAGCTGCATTTCATATTTTCTTTGAGCTTCTCGAATTTTTGTTACACAATCGTTTCTTACCGATCTGTAGCGTTCCATCGTACCTGCTTTGCCAAGGCGGATTGCAACATCCCAACATTTAATTTTTCGTCCTAGTAAACGTCGAGTATCCAGCCCTATCCAGGGATAATAATAATAATATATTTCTGCATGTGCAGGTACACACCGTTTTTACAGGCATGATCTATAAATTACAACATTTGTTGGTTCACATAATGTTTCCCAACTTATTAAGTTTATAGTTGTTATAAAGTAAAATCGTAGAGCGCTTGCTGTTTTTTATGACCTTGAGAGGACGCGTACATCAAGTTTGTTCCAAACGTCAAAAGTTTCATAGCTGTGCTCTCAGAGCAAGATTCTGAAGAAAAAAAAGAGAAACAGAAGAGCAGCAAGACACTTGGATATGAACGTCAAACGTTGCTTAACATAGTGTAGTAGAACGGACAGAGGTATAATAAATTAGAATAAATTCATATTGTCTTGTTAGTGAAATGAAGTCAGAGGCTCCATATTAGAGAATGTGTAGAATTATGGTCTACTATGATATTAGTACTGCTCTAATAATAGACCTAATCCTAAATCTGTAGATTCGTCATGATATGACTGCCTAATCTATAAGATCTTACGCGGAAGTCACACCATCGACTACACCAACTCACTGTATCGTATCAATTACCAATACATGATGTAGAACAAGGTTAGGCTAGAGAAAGAACAATATATTTAATATGAATAGAAGATATAAGGTAACATTCAGCAGAGACCACGCCTGCATGGCCGAGCCATGCTGTTCGATCAACTCTAGTCTATTCAATTCATTATTCGCGCCTTCTCCATCGTTAGGTATTTCTTTACGTTGAATATTGAATACCTATTTTCCGAGTAATCTCGTATTCAGCTTTGAGGATAGTGTGGTTATGGTCCAATGCCACTACAAATGTACTAATAAAGAACAATGAGTTGTGATGTTTAACAAGTTGGAGTAAGCTCACACGAAGGAAAAGAAGTCAAGGCTGGTACAAGGAAAGCGGTTTATTAGAAGGGTGTGTATATACAGGGTGAATTGTTAAGAATACTAATGACTACATCTTTCGTTTTCTAACTTTTTTTCCTTTTTTGTTTGTCCGTTGTCAGCCACACAATCCTAGTGTAAAAGTTCGAGTTAGCATGTTATAGGTTGTCTTAGTAGAATAGCTAATCCAACATAATATTGGAAACATGAGTTTGAGTGGTGAGCGTAGGAAAACAATCTATATCACAGATTGATTGACTTATTCTCAATCATGAGGAGCCTGATACATACAAAATGTTCTGTCCCCACAAACACGGGTGGTTCGAAGTTATCGCCCTCACCATCAATGCTTGCTGGTCAGTAACTCCACCCTCCCTCCTTTTGTGATGTTAGGCTCATTTAGGCTTATTTTTGTATATACGTCATACCTCACACAATCCTCTGTTTCACAAACTGTTGGAAAGCAATATTTCTATAAGTACCATTTTACAAGCTTATCAGTCAGTTACAAGCTATGGACTGTCGGTCAAGCATCGATGCAGTGCCTCTATTGACTATAGTATAAAGTATAGTTCGCCAATCAGAGTATAAGCGTTAAGAAGGGTATATTGTAGGATAGTTGTTTATTTAAGTAGGCGGAAAAAGTATAGAAGTATATGAGTTGTGGATAAGGGAACGAGTGGAGAAATAATGTTAATTGCTAGTTAACATAGTGTACTGAAGAGTCCGTACTTCTTCTACTTTGAGACTGTCCAGGGTATATGTGGTTGAGTTACCCGATTTTATAATTGCCTGAAATAAGTACATGCCTCTTTTACCGATATCCTTGAGTCAATTTCCCAGTTTTCAGCTGGTACCTTTGAGTTGGTTGTCTCCATATCTGCCTTCCATATATTAGGACGGACCGGCCCAACTGTTTGACAGGAGATCTCAGCCATCAATTTGAATAAGATGACTGCATGGTCAGTTCTCCCTAGTAGTGGGAGAAAAGTTATTTGACCAACGTCATCACCGTATGTGAAGACTAAATCTAAAAGAGAAGAAAAGTTTTTAAGTCATATTTTGTGGGATTTATGATGTGTTGGAATAAAGATAATCCAATCGAGGTTTCTAACAGTTTGCAATCGAACGATGCTATCGATGACCTCACTTCTAATTTAACCCAGTTTATATACGGTGCATTAAAGCCGCCTACTACAAGGCTTTCACCATTGTTACATCACGACTTAAGTTTACTTAGGAGAAAATCATCATTCAAAAAGATACGATAAGCAGAAGCCGTTCATATATTCTGTGAAGTTCATTGTTCCTCTGAGGTGTATCTTTTTAGACCGGTTATCAGGTATCAGAGGGGTTCAGGTTTGGTGGTTAACAACCAAGGACTGGATGGAAATAATTGGGAGTGTGTCGTTTAGCCTTCTGGTGATAACGTCGACAAAGGATGGACTTCCTCTAAGTAAGCGGCTTTTAGCCGGTCGGTTCTGATGTTATTTCTAGTTCCATTCCCAATAGTAGTAAAGTGTTTAGATTTATGAAAGATAATTTTATACAATCCCCTTTATGCGGCTTCGAGGGATCAGCGTGATGAGTAGTGACATATGAAAATGTGTGTACTATAATATAAGGCGGGTTGGAATAAAATGTCTGTTGAATGAGGTAGAGAGGAGGCAAGTTTGACTGAATGAATCTCTCTTCTTAGCCTGCATGTATGAGAATTGCTATCCACATCAGTCGAAGAAGAGAAACAAGGATCGGCAAATTCTCCTGGAGGTCTAGGTGTCCTGCCTTAAACGAGTTCGGCTGCAGTACGCACGCGCCAGCTATCAAGTCTGGACTTGAAGATATTGATGCGAATAACACCTAGTAATAGACACACAGATTCATAAAATTCTATACCGTCTACTGTAAATGAGGGGCTCGTCTTGCCGAAATCAAGCGATAATACAGACACGAACACACAATAGACAAACAATCTACTACGCACATGTGTGGAACAATTAGAACTTACACCAGTAGACCTAACCGTTCACCTGTCATTAGCACACCTGGAGGATATCTCAATAGCCTGACTCTGTGGTTTAACTTAATATGACAGTCTTAGTTCACTCACCATATCGAGGTACCTCACGCAGCCTAATCAAAATCAAGTGCAA